TTTTGCTTCGCAGCGCCTTCGAGGGGTCCTCTGGGATGAGGAATCCTCATCTCGGGACTAATTTGAAGGAGCCAGCAGCTCCTTCCCTTTAGTTCTGGGATGCGGAATCCTTTTCTCGGGAGTAATTTGAAGGAGCCAGCAGCTCCTTCTCTTTATCTCTGGGACGAGGAATCCTTATCTCGGGACTAATTTTGAAGGAGCCGGCAGCTCCTTCCTTTTAGCTCTGGGATGAGGAATCCTTATCTCGGGATTAATTTGAAGGGTCCAGCAGCTCTTTCACAGCGCCTTGGCTTTGTAACTTGGAATTGCCAATGATGGCAACTCGTGTCTTGGCAGGGGGGCCTTGGCTTTGTAACTTGACTTTGCAACCTGACCGCAAGAATGGCGTTTGCAACTTGGCTTTGTGCCTTGGTTGCGCAAGGGTGGCCAGCAGCTCCTTCCCTTTAGCTCTGGGACGAGGAATCCTTATCTCGGGACTAATTTGAAGGAACCAGCAACTCTTATCCTTTAGCTTTGGGATGAGGGGTCCTTATCTCGGGACTGGTTTGAAGGGGTCAGCAGCTCCTTTCCTTTAGTTCTGGGATGCGGAATCCTTATCTCGGGACTCATTTGAAGGAACCAGCAGCTTCGTTCCTTTGTTTTGGCTATGCAAGAACAGGGCCATGTGCTTTGCGTCGAATGTCAAGTGGCATGAAACGGGCAATTCCTTTTGGCAATGTAGCAATCATCTTCCCCGGCGTTGATTTCAATAGACTTAGATCTTGGGCTTGGCCTTGGAATATAGGGACTCTTTTTATGGGGCTAGTCTGAAAACTCTAGAATAAGAATAGCTTCTAAAGATCCATTTTGATTGGTGCATGAGCCAATTCAGTTTTGGAAAGAACAGAGAAGTTCCGGGTCTTTGGTTCGAGCTAGAGTTGCAATTCTTATGTTACAATCCGTGATCCTTGGGGCGGGCGGCAATTACCTTTCATGGAGCAGCTGTGCGCTGTTCAGTGGCTGGCCTGGATGGGCGTTGCCTGGGATGAAGCAGTGCTTGGGCAGCAGCGCGCTGGAACACCTCCCCACTTGGTGCGCCGTGCCTTGTCTTCATCGTGGCTTGCTGCGCAGGCCTACTTGAAAATGTGGAAGGAGCGCTTCCACTACAAGTTGCTGCAAGCCTCCACAGTAGAGCACAAGGACTCGGTGAGACAGACACTGTTTCAAAAATTAGATCTTCTTTGTCCTTTGCGCGCGCTGTCACACACCAACACGGTCTCAATTTTCTTGCGCTTGCTGCCAGGAGCAAATGAGGGAGATGCGGAACATGCTGATTGCTTGGTACCTCTTGGAATGCTGCTACCTACTGGCGCCCGCTGACCTGTTCAGCTACAAGTGGTTCGCAAGGTATCTACGCCCGCGGCTGAAGGTTTGCGGGGCTGACCGAGGGATACTGGAGCAAGTGATTTTGCCTTTCAAGAACGGCCTCATTAGGCAGACCCATGCGATTTTTGATTTTCGCCTGGCTGATCAGAAGCCACGAAAGATTCAGCTTGTAGAAGATCCCGCTGTGGATTGCAGCATTGATGCCTGATTGCTTCGCGCTCGTCGCAGTCGAAAAAGATTGAGTGCACCAGCGCGAAGACAGTTCTATTGCCGCTGGACAGTTCCGGGCTCTCGCGTAGGCTTTCTACAGTAGGCCTGGCTTGGCTTTGGAAACCTATGCTGCTAGCCTTTTGTAAATTGATCGTTGGGAAGTTGACTTCGTCAGTTTCACGCGTCTTGCGTTGAGGCGGCCTCTACCGACCGACAGATGCAACTTAGGCTCAAATCTTTTGATATTCCCCATTATTTCATTGCCTTAACACCAGCTATGGCACCTAAGAAGCAAAGGCAATCCTACGCTGATGGAGTGATGCCGGCTGCTAAGGCTGTCCGCTTCACGCAGGGGCCAGAACAACTTGTGGCTTGCGCTCGAAAATGGGGCAACGCCGCTTGGGTCTTTGGAGGCGCGATAATAAGCATATGGGCCAAACATGAAATCACATTGTGAGACTTAAGGTCGACACTTTCACGAGCCGCAGTCGCATATAGTATAAATGAACATCTGAATTCAATGTATGTAATTCAGCGGGGTTTGCCCGATGTTTTTGCGGGCCGCGCCTTGTGGAGGCGCTGGGCCCGCGCCATTGTGGCAGATCCAATTCAGTGGCAACGCGCATCGGACCTTTACTTATCAAATGCTGGGTGCGGTGCGTGAGCTCTTGGAGAAAGGTGTGGGCGAGGATGCGAAGCCGTGGACCTTGAGTGACATGGAAACAAATTGGTGCATTCGGGTCATTACTGGTGGTCCGCCCCATTCAGGTTCTGTTGATCCGGATGGCCTTGGCATTGGTGAGTGGACGCCGGCCATATACTGCGCCGGCAATGACCCAAGGCGAGCGTTACAGCTCATTTTCGACACTTTGACGCTCAGATCCCGAAAGAAATCCGTGCATGATCTTCCGCAGTTGAAGCTTTGGTGCGATGGCTTGCCTGGCTTTGATGTGCCTGAGCCTTGGTCCTTGTGTGGGGGGAGGCGATGTATCACCTCCCCGGCCGTTCAGCGTTCTGCCACCAAAAGGGCGGCGCCATATCCTTGCGCAATTGGAAGCGCAACCTTGTGAAGAGCAGGAAAACCGCGACACTGAAGAAGAAGGAGAAGAGGTGGAAGAAAAAATACATTTTGTCTTTCTTTGGTGGGATCTACGCATTTAAGGATCGCTTTGATGAGCACCAGGCTGGATATCGCCAAATTTGATATGCCTTGCAAGGTTGAAGTTTTCAGGCTCGTCTATAAGAACTTTGCAAATGACAATCTTCACTCAGCTCTGCCTGTCAGGTACCTGGTGTGCTCGTTTCCAAAGAAGGCACTGATCAGCGGGAGTACATCAGGTTTCTCAATGGCCTTAAGCTTAACGATGAGCATTCTGCCAGCCGCGTGCGAACTGTTCTGGAAGACGTCCTTCTTGAAATTCCCGTCTTCTTTATCAACAACACCAGCCCTGCGAACCAGATGGCGGCACTCATCCTCACGCATGCGTCAGTTGTGCGTGGTGAAGATGTCGATGTGTGACCTCACGGCTTTTGTGGGCGGTTGAGAGTTTGTTAGACGAGGTTTGTTGTCTTCTATACAAATGCCTTGCTGAAACCGTGGCCCCTGGTATTTTCGCGCGTTGCAGCTACTCAGGCTTGCACAACGGCGCGTGACTTCAGAGGCCCTTTGCACAGCTGGCCCAGAAGAAATTTGCACAGATTTTCAGGCCGTCAGCGAGCCACCAAAAAAAGAAAACAGCTGCTTTTGATCATGCGCATGTCACACACACACACACGCACACCTTCATGACACTGCGAAGCCGTAATCGCTCCAACCTAGTTGCTGTGGTCGATTATCGCTTCTCACGGCGCCGATAAAATTTGTGAAGGGTCTACCCGTTTGTTTGGAATGGAGAAATCATTGTGTCGATATAGCTCCTCTCCTTAGCTTTGTAGTGGGGAACTGTTTCTGATTGATACATTCGGTAAGGTTTTTGTAGTTTGCCGTGTTTTTCTTTTTCCAAATCTCGGCCGGAGCATTTGGGGATCAAGTATTTCACACAATCGTTCGACTTGCGTGTTTGCGCTTTGCAGCGATGGCAAGTGCAGAAGAAGCCCTAGAGGTGGCAGCGGCCCAACCTGCAGCGGCAGCTTTGCAGCGGCTGGGGCACATCCAAGAAGAAGATTTACCGCAAGAGGAGCGGCAGGGACAGAAGAAACCATGCTTGAACGACCGCATCATGGTGCTAAAATGCGATTGGTTGGAAATGGTTCTTCAAGGGAAGAAGACAATGGAAATTCGGAGCCGCAAGTATCGCCCTGGTTTTGTGTGGCTAGCGGCCAGCGGGAGCATATACGGTAGCGCAACAATTGACACGAGCGTTGTGCTGTCTGAAGATGAATTTAGAGCCCGTGGACCTGAGCATCAATGGCCTGCTGACAGAAGCCTTCCTTACAGGCGCCTTTGCGGGTTGACATTGACGGATGTGCAGCGGCTGGATGCTCCGATCGCCTACTGGCGCCCTCCACAGTCCATAGGCTGGAATCTTTTTCGCCGCGGGCCAGAGGATATGCCGGATAAGTCTGTGAAGCCCAAGAAAGGAAGGAAGCGCAGCGCGGTTCACCCAGAGGCCAATGGTGAAGGAAGGCATCTACGAGCAACCTCTCACTCCAGTGGCGCAAGCTGATGCAGCGGCTGCAGAGATCAACAAGTTCAAGCAGGACTGAGTGCGCGCACAGGTTCGCCTCGAAAAAAACGCTTGACTCAATTTTCATTGACGCTCACCTGAGCGAACATCAGCGCGGCAATTCTTGTGAAAAGCCCGGCTTGCATCATTGCAACTGCACGCGTTGTCGCTTGCCACGTCGGAACCATATAACATGTCTGGCCGCTTGCTCATTGCTAGCGCTTTGATTTTACAACGCGTAGTGGCGTAGTGACAGGGATGCCTTTTCGTTTCTTCAGCTTGTTATTTGCAGTGATTTTGTATCAGCTTGCAGCATCTCGGCTCAACCTAGTCAATACAGAAGCGCAAGCCTTGCTATGGCGCAGCTTTTGGCCAACCCCGACATCGTAGCGGCCGTGCTGGCTGCATTGGATCTGCCTACGCAAGCACGCTGCTGCTCTGTGTCCACGCATCTCATGTCGCCGCAGACCATCGCTGCAGCCAGCAAATTTGCTGCCGGCGCAGTGGAGCACTTGACGTGCCCTATTTGCTACGCATCCCCTTCCATCGCAGCATCGGCGCTGCCCGCGCAGCAATTCCTCCGCGCGGCAGGCGAAATCTGGCACCTTGTGGCTGAGCCCTTGCTTCTACTGGACAGAACTGTTTTTGAATGCCCTGGCTTGATGGGGGATACGCTTGCACGCGTGTACATATTGGGGCAGCGAAAGCATCACCGACTCACGGAGAGTTGGTGGCGGCCCCGCTTGGTTGGGCGCGAAGATCCGCCCGCGGAGCCGTCGATCTTGGAACGGATTTTGCGGGAAAGAGGCATGAGTGAAAATGTTCTGGTGGCTATGTCAGAGCTCAACCACCCCTGTCCAGACATTGATTTGGCAATGGCCATTCTAGGCGGCGGGGACTGGTCCTTTCACTGGTTTCCTGTTCGATTTGATTTCGAATTCGAAGAGCTTCAAGAGGCGCAGGCCGTCTTGACTTTTGATGTGTACGGCGTATCCGGCCTCATCTATTTTCAAGAGTTTGACGCGCCGGGCACCGGGTGACAGCGACCTGAGCGCTGGCCGGTTTGCCCGGTTTTCAAAATACAGCGCGAGAGGGTGACAAAAGGAGCAGTGCGCGTCAAGAGCGCGTGGATATGAGCACAATGTTTCGCACGTTTTTCAATACGTGGCCGCTGCCGATGCTATTTGCGGCTCGAGCACTTGGGCTCTGGATGACAACACCTTGGCTCCTCAGATGCCCCATAGGGTGAAAAGCAGGGGCCGCGCAGCACCCAAGCGCGCAGCTGCTCGTGCCCGTTGGTCAGACATGTGTGAAGATGAGCTTGATGATCTGTGGCCACAACCTCCATTTCTGACATTGCCTTCACCAGTTTGGGCTGTTGACTACAGTGAGGCGCAGCAACCAGAAGCGCCATTCCCACTGCGGGCCTTCGCCCACGCTTGCGTGGGCAACGTACCTCGCTTGGGCTTCGCAGAGAGAATGCGAAGAAATCCCTGAATATTTGTTTCAAGTTCTCTCCTTTTTCGTGTGGCTTGTCTTAAGTGGCTCTTGCCCGGAGAGCTTTTTGACGGCCTTGCAAATCATGCTGCGTCGAACCCTGCCGGGAGCCATCAAACTCCCTGGCTGGGTGGGCCGCATGGTCTATGTTCTGTCTTTCGTTTGAAACTATAAGCCCTATTTCGATTTGGCCAATGGGACAGGCTTTCAGCACAGGATGGCGTGGTCGGACGAAAAAGAGCGCAGCTCGCCCTTAATTCCATTTTGCATTTTGCAACTGTCATTTCTTCAGTAGCGGTGACACTTGTGCTGATTGAGTTGACGGTTGTTCTATATAACTGTTCCCGTTTCCGGGCTCAAGCTCAGCACAGCTTTCTTGCTACAAATAGAGAACCCACAAAGTCTCGGAGCCATTCGCGATGTCGACCGTCGCCGTGCTTACCAATGTCAAGGTTGGTTTTGCGCGCCATCGCGTTGCGTCACGTTACATAATAGGATAGGGCTAATCAATCCCCCCGCTCGGACCTTGCCAGGTGCTTGGTGTGGTCGTCGTGGGGTCCCACGCAGATGGTCTCTTCTACGCATTGGGCATCAGCGAAGGTACTGACGGCGCTGTCCTAAAGGAGGAGCTTGCAAGCTTTATGGTGGCCCTCGCTGCTGGGTTGACCGAAGATGACGCGGCGCAAGTGTGGCTCGAAGAAGCTTCGCAGTTGCGGGGCCCGCGGTCCGCCGGGCAACCTGGCTCACTGGCCGCTCCGTTGTCCATCCTGGCCTTTTCCCGTCTGCGGAATAGACGGGTTTTGATCCACACGCGAAGCAATATGACAGGGCCGCG